TGTATCTACGAGTGAATTTTAAATAAAGGTTTTTTTTATGTATTAGTCAAGGCTCTCTAGAGAAACAGAACTGATAGGAGATTTATTATGAGGAACTGGCTCACAAGATTACCGAGGCTGAGAAGTCCATGTGCAGGCTGGAGGCCCAGGAAAGCCCTGAGTTCCATGTTCAGGTCATAAGGATTTGCAGTCACCGCTAAATGAGTGTCAGAGCTGGCTAGTGACCTTCCTGTTGAACCCGGGATTACCCAACTAGATAAGAACAGCGGAGGCTCAGGAAAGCTTCAATCCAAACCCAGAAGCCAAGAGCCAGGAGTGCCCGTGTCCCAGCTCAAGCCAGCAAATTCGCACTCCCCCTCCTTTTTGTTCCTTTCGGGCCCTCATGGATTGGAAGGTGCCCAGTGCACTAGTGAGGGCAGCCACCTTTAGTCAGTGTCTACCAACTCAAATGCTGATCTCTCCGAGAAACACCCTCCCAACACATCCAAAAAATGTTTTATCAGCTGCTGAGCATCCCTTGGCCCAGTCAAGTTGACACAAAAAATCAACCATCACAATGGGGCAGAGGGAGAGAGCATTTTTTACACGTTGGTTTCACTGTTTCGTATTTAAATATTTTCTCACATACTTTAAAAGTTTCTCTTTAAAAGTTTGGAGTTCGTTACGACAAATTGCATTAAGTCAGGCAACACTTTTTGAGGCCTGGCCCATATTTTCCTTGGTTCAAGCAATACTTGGTCCAGGTAAGATCTGGTAGACCCAGACAACTTGAAACTTCCAGGCCAACTCTCAGTACTAGTTGCTGTCATTTCTCTCATTATTTTGGTGTTCACATTTGTTGTCTTTGTTCATCCTTAATCAATGGGTCTCTTTGTAATTGACATATGAACTCTTCTGCTATCTAAAGTTTATTTCTTTTTTTAAAAAATATATATATTTTATTGATTTTTTACAGAGAGGAAGAGAGAGGGATAGAGAGTTAGAAACATCAATGAGAGAGAGTCATCGATCAGCTGCCTCTTGCACACCCCCTACTGGGGATGTGCCCACAACCAAGGTACATGCCCTTGAATGGAATCGAACCCGGGACCATTCAGTCCGCAGACCGACGCTCTATCCACTGAGCTAAACCGGTTTCGGCTAATGTTTATTTCTTTAAGAACTTTTGTTTTTTGTTTTTAAAAAAATATATTTTATTGATTTTTTACAGAGAGGAAGGAAGAGGGATAGAGAGTTAGAAACATCGATCAGCTACCTCCTGCACACCCCCTACTGGGGATGTGCCCCATAACCAAGGTACATGCTTTTGACCAGAATCTAACCTGGGACCTTTACAGTCCGCAGGCTGACACTCTGACCACTGAGCCAAACCGGTTTTGGCAAGAACTTTGGTTTTTAATAAAGATATTACTTTAACCTGGCCACCATGTTCTGCTTTATCAGAGTTAATTTGAAACAGAGCAGAACTCTGTGATTACTTAAATACAAACAATTTATCCTTCAGAATTCTTCTCTAAGTAGAGGAACATTCTTTTTTTTTCTTTTTTTAAAAATATATTCCATTGATTCTTTACAGAGAGGAAGGGAGAAAGACAGAGAGCCAGAAATGTCCACGAGAGAGAAACACCGACCAGCTGCCTCCTGCATACCCCTCACTGGGGATGCGCCTGCAGCCAAGGCACATGCCCTTGACCGGAATCGAACCCAGGATCTTTCAGTTCCCAGGCCGATGCTCTGGTTTTCCAGCTTATAGTTCTCCTCCATGTGCAATAGGCACCAGGGCCATCCCATGGAAAAAGGAAAGCACCAATCCGAGATAGGCCCTGTGCCAGACAGCTGGGTACATAAATGAAATCAAGATTCTTGCCTTGGAGAGCCTCAAAGTTTATTGTGAGAGATGAACTGATAATTAAATAAGTCATAACATAGTTATGTTTTACATATGTAACAGTGATATGAAAAGTGCTGTGGAGCCACGGAGGGAGGAATTTGTTTTTGTGGGAAGGAGAAAGGATAAGGATTAAGAAAGACTTTGGAGCCGAAACCGGTTTGGCTCAGTGGATAGAGCGTCGGCCTGTGGACTAAAAGGTCCCGGGTTCGATTCCGGTCAAGGGCATGTACCTTGGTTGCGGGCACATCCCCATTGGGGGGTGCAAGAGGCAGCTGGCCGATGTTTCTCTCTCATCGATGTTTCTAACTCTCTATCCCTCTCAATTCCTCTCTGTGTAAAAATCAATAAAATATATATATATTTTTTTTTTTAAAAGAAAGACTTTGGAGAGGTTGTAAATTTTAAAATGCGGTTTGAAGGATGTCGGAGAGTACTAGGCAAAGATGCATGAAAAGAACATCCCAGACAGAGGCTCAGCTGAAAAAAGGAGGTGGTATGGAGTAAGGACAATTTCTGGGAATTTTGAGTACTTCAAGTGTTACTGTGGCATAGGGTACTCAGGGTGATGTGATGGGAAGTGGAGGAGCAGGTAGGAGTCAGAATTAGAAGGCCCTGGGCACTGGCCTGAGGGGTTAGATTTGTTCCTGTCAGCCATGTACCCACAGAAGGCTTTTGGGCCCCCCTTTTATTTTTATTTTTTTTACTTTTATTTTTTATTTATTTATTTTTAAAAATATATATTTTATTGATTTTGTACAGAGAGAAAGGGAGAGAGATAGAGAGTTAAAAACATTGATGAGAGAGAGTCATCGATCAGCTGCCTCTTGCACACCCCCTACTGGGGATGTGCCCGCAACCAAGGTACATGCCCTTGACCGGAATCGAACCCAGGACCCTTCAGTTCCCAAGCCGACGCTCTATCCACTGAGCCAAACCGGTTTAAGCTTGGGCCCCACTTTTAGCTGTTTTACTGATGCTACCTATTTCTTGGCCCTTTGTCTCTAGAATTGAGCCACTGCTCTTCTTCTTTTTTTTTTTTTTTTTTTTTCCCTTTCTTTTTTAAAAAATATTTTATTGATTTTTTTTACAGAGAGGAAGAGAGAGAAATAGAGAGCTAGAAACGTTGATGAGAGAGAAACATCGACCAGCTGCCTCCTGCAACCCCCCACAGGGGATGTGCTCGCAACCAAGGTACATGCCCTTGACCGGAATAGAACCCGGGACCCTCAGTCCGCAGACCGACGCTCTACCACTGAGCCACACCGGCCTCGGCGAGCCACTGCTCTTCTGCTGGGCCCACTTTCTGCCAGGCCCTCAGGTGCCCTCAGGTTTGCCATAGCTCCCGATGTTTGCCTCAGGTTTCAAGCCCTTAAAAACGGTCTGGATTTGGTGGAGTGATTTTTTTCTAAAGGATTTTTATATTCTTCCTCCTGCCCTATACACTGCAGGCAATTGGCATTGATGCTTTAGATTTGGGTCAGCTCTGTCTGTTTTCCTGTCAAGTGAAGATTATATGTTCAGTATTTTTAAGTTTCCTGTTCATGTCTTAAGTATTGATAGTCACCATGGAATGAATGAAAGAGCTGGCTAGTTGACCTTCCCGTTGAACCAGGAGTTACCTAACTAGACAAGGATAGAGCTGAGATAAAAATCTCAGGACTCACCCTAACTGGTTTGGCTCAGTGGATAGAATGTCAGCCTGAGGACTGAAAGGTCCCAGGTTCCATTCCAGTCAAGGGCATGTACCTTGGTTGCGGGCACATCCTCCGTAGGAGGCGTGCAGGAGGCAACTGAGCGATGTTTCTCTTTCATCGATATTTCTAACTCTCTACCCTTCTCCCTTCTCTCTGTAAAAAATCAATAATATATATATTAAGAACAACAACAAGTCAGGTCTCCTGACTCCCAGTCCAGTGCTTTTTCCAGGGTACTCTGACTCCTGGCTCTGCTTAGCCAGTTATGAGCCAGACCAGACGTACTTGGTACCTCAAACCCACAAGGCCAGGATAGAGAGCTGGAGCTAAGGGAGAGCTGTTTCCAGAATGGAATCTGTACCTCAAGCCAGACAGCATGACACAATATATTTTGACATCTCCCTTTTGTCTGTAAAATGGGAGCAGAGTTTATTTAATGCTGCAGCGGACAGCAGGGATTAACACGTGGCAGCGTTGTTTGTTTTTGAGATGGTTGAGAAGTGATGGATCTTTGGTCAAGTGGTATAATCCTAAAGTCAGAGTTTGCAAGGGAACTTGGAGGTGATGTGCGGTGGTGACAGGCAGCTTCACGTAGTCCACGGATCACGGAAGACTCCCGGCAGCCAGAGGCCGAGCTGCCCGTCTTTGGAATTGTTCAACCTGAGAAAAAGCGTTCAGGCCGAAGGGAATCTCTCTGAAGAGCTTTCTGCGCATTCGAGGTGGCTGGATGGACAACGGAAGGGCGACTCCATGGTTTCTGGCTTCGGCACACACGCATTTTCTCCAATTCCCGCCCAGGTGGGCTCGCCGGGCAGCTGTGCAGCATGACTCATGCCAGACATCTGCTGGGTAAACGTTAACAGGTTGCTAACAACAACAACCGTCGCCATGTACTGCCTAGAGCGCCAGCGCTGTCCGTGCCCAGTTAACTCATTTCCTGAACGGTCGTGATCTCTAGTTCACAGGGGAGGAAACAGGTTTAACATGTTGCCCACAATCTCCCGGGGCAGAGTCTGGATCACATTCAGGTTTATTAGATTCCAATAATCTAATCCAGCTCCAGTTCCTGTCTTACTCCCGTCAAGAAGAGAGCGGTTTCAAGAGCCCCGTTTCCCGCCGCCTCGGGATGGGAACTCGGACCAGCAGAGCTGGGAGGAGGCACCGTGCCCGCCGGGCAGTGGGCTAGACCTGCTGAGCTCAGGAGTCGGTGGGCGGGGCCTGCCGTGGGCGGGGCCTGCCGTGGGCGGGGCCGGCCGTGGGCGGGGCCGGAAGTGGCTCTGCGGACGGACGTCCGCGAACTGGGCCAGAGTCCCAGCCTGACGCGGCGTCCGTCCCGGGGCTGAGGTGGGAGGGCTTTCTCCGCCCCCACGAAGGTCCCCGCACTCGGCGTCCGGCGGCCGCAGCCTCCGGGGACGATGGTGGCCCGCCTGCTGCTGCGCGCTTGGCCCCGGGTCGCTGCCGGCGGCCCGGGAGCCCCCCGGCGGCCCCTGAGCGCCGGCTCGGGGCCCGGCCAGTACCTGCAGCGCAGCATTGTGCCCACCATGCACTACCAGGACAGCCTGCCCAGGTGAGCCCGGCCTCCGCCCGCCCCGGTCAGCCCCAGCCTTACCCGGCACTCACGGCTCCCCTGAACCGCGCTGCCCCCGCTCCCCCGGGGACGCCCTCCCGCCCCCGGAAGCCCTGAGACTGTCAGGATCTCTTGGCACCGGCACCTCCCAACGCGCAAATTCCATTTGAGAACGCCCCATGGCTCTCTGATTCTCCGGCCTGAACCTTCTCGAACTCTCTCCGGCAACTCAACTTCCAGCCAGAAACCCTGAGAGTTCCTCACATTCCCTCCGCCTGAAAAATGCCCAGGTGTTCCCCCAAGCGCTTTCATGACCGCCCCACATTCCTGCCCAGAATAGGGACAGGCCAACTTCTGATCCGTAAGAGTTATCCTCCTTCAGTTCCTCCCAGCACCCATCGACTTCGTCACCGTTACTCAAACCCTCAGCCCACTGCCATGCCAGCAGGACTCTGCCCTTTTAGCACCCCCAGCAGCCCCCCACCCCACTGCGTGTCTATCTTACTCTCCCCAAAGGCCCAGTCTTCACCGAAAACCTTTCACCACGATCAAATCTGCCTCAACACTCCCCTAAAATATCCTCCTAACCCACATCACCCCAAGCACCTCCAGCCCACCCTCACAGGATTCTGGGGACCACCCTCAACCCCCCCGGAGCCTTACTCAGATTAGATCCAGAGTCTGACTAAATCCTCTCCACTCCTCCCGCCATACGGACCTTCCACCCGAACCTCCTCTCCTGGGAAGACGGCTCGTTCACTTTCTCCTCCTCCTCTCTCCCCCCAGACTCCCCACCTTTACCCTACTCTCTCCTAAACCCGGAGGGCCCTTTTGCCTCTGTAACTTTCTAATAAATTTTTTCTTATAAATGACAAAAAAGGAAGAAAGAAAAAACAGTCCAATACACCTTTCCCTTTCCCTCACCCAGTATTTTCTTCCACTCAGTTTCCAGTTTTCCCACCTTCCCAGCCTTCATCCGAGCTGCCAGATCTCCTTCTCCGATATGAGAAATTTCTCCCAATTCCTTCACCCTTTAAAACCAGATTTAACCTTCTCTGTTCACCAGTTAGTTCCTGGTGCCACATTCCAAATTTGTGTCCAAGATTGTTCTCTCTCCAAACTGTCGTCAGGACTCTCTTAGTCCAGGGGCTGGATGCCAGTGTTCCCGGCCGCGTGAATAGAACAAAGATTGCATGCAGACATCACCCCAACTGAGTCCATTGTCAACACTGCCCACCCCCACTCTCTCAGGAAAATCATCAAGGTGATTCTAGTGAAATTACAGAGTGCAGACATCTAAACAGATTAAAACGAGATTATCTAGCCCCAATCCCTCCGTTTAAATTTGGCTGAGGTGCGGGAGAGGAAGGAAAGGTGTCTCTGTGCCCTCGGGACAGGCCCGGGACACACCTCCTCCCTGTGTGTGGGCTGAGCCTGTAAGTGGGGGAAAGGTGAGGCATGACAGAACCTGTCTGCGTGTGCCAAGCCCAGCTGCAGATGGATCCTTGACTTCCTGTATCAGAGGGATTGTCCTGTTTTAAAACTGGAAAGCTGGGGAGAATATTCAAGATCATTTCGTCCAACCCACAGTACAAAAATCTGTAGGAGTTGGAAGCTACAAACAGTTGCACTGCATCATCACCCAGCTATGTGTAACTTTAAACAAGAGCTCCCCCCCAGGCCTTCCTTAGTCAGCTGTAAAGTGGAGTTTAGATAGTAAGATTCCTTTGATCTCTGAGATCCTAGACTGGTAAAATGTGTTATTTTTGACACTCATTTTTTTGTTTTTTGTTTTTAAAATATATTTTATTGATTTTTTTTACAGAGAGAAAGAGAGGGGTAGAGAGGTAGAAACATCGATGAGAGAGAAACATTGATCAGCTGCCTCCTGCACACCCCCACTGGGGATGTGCCCTCAACCAACGTACATGCCCTTGACTGGAATCGAACCCAGGACCTGCCAGTCCACAGGCCAATGCTCTATCCACTGAGCCAAACCAGTCAGGGCTTGACACTCATTTTGTTGTCACACTTGGTGAAAAGCCCTGGCTTTGAAGTCTGGTAGAACTTGGTTTCAGAGTCTGGATCTTACACTCTGTAACTTAAGGCAATTCCGTTAATTTCCTTGAGCCACAGCTCTTCCCTGTAAGGTAGCAAGGGACACACAGTTCATTGGGCCTCAGTGAGATAAGATGCCTGAAATAGGGAACGGTCCCAGCTAGTTGAAGGGTGGTCCCTTTGTGTTAAGAAGTCCAACATGACCTCCCTCCCTCTTACTGTGGTATTACTGCTGCCTATTGACCAAGTGGCCGTGGACTCTCTCTTTTCTAGGAACCCTTGCACTAGCATTTGCTTGTTTTTTAGATGTTACTGTTTTTTCTTTGCTCTTTTTTTTTAGTGTGGTAGAATATACGTAATATAAAAGTTACCATTTTAACTATTTTTAGGTGTCCAATTCAGTTATTATTATTTATTTTTAATTTTTTTATAATGCAAAAACAGATTTATTTGTACATACACCCATGAAGGAAAGCAGTCTTCTGACGAATGGAGACGATTAAGATTCTTACAGAGCTGATTCTGGGGCCTAGGACAATGGGAAGACTCGCTTTGTTGCCTCCAGATGTTGGGTCTGTTCACCTGACACTTCAGCAGGCTTTTCCTGTTTGTCTTCCTCCTCCTGGGCCTTATTTTCTTATTCCTTGTGATATACAAGCTGGCGGAGCCGATAGCTTATGTTACTCTTCTGTTCCTCCAGGGACTTTTCCCTGAAACATAAGAATTAGTGTCATTGTTGGCAGAAGCTATGGCCTTCACGTCTAGAAGGAGCGTGGTTAACTAGTTCTCCAGGTCCAGAGCAGACTCCAGAGCTTGCATGCCCCTTCCCCAGCTATTATCTCAGGCCTCAGCCACCCGAAGGCAGATTTCGCTCACATTCTCTTAGGTATCTTAGGAATTGCTTTTCATGTTTCCTCTTCCCCTCACCTTGATTTTCAAAGAATGTGGCAAAACGAGGTTCTTCTGAGCATTCAATGTAATAACACAGGTAAACAAGCATCACTGATGTGCAGTTCATAGGATGCCACGTGATTAACAGCAACCTTGCACTCTTCAGAGAGGGGGTGCTTGGCTGCCGTCTCAGAACTAGAGAAAACCAGGCATAAACAGATGTTATTTTTAAAGGGCTGTGTTGATATATACTGAACAGTTAATTTCACAATATAAACGAAGTTCTGAGGAGACTAAGATATAAATCATCACTCTGAAAACTTCCCCATTAAAGTAAGTTCAGGATAGAGTTAACACACTAGAATTTTTAATAAGCACTGTTTTTTTTTTTTTTTTTTTTTACAAAACTGCCATTGCCTGTAATTTAGGATTTTGTTTAAAAAGAAGGTAAATTTTCATTAATGTTCCTTCTGTGTCAAAACAAAGTCCTGAGAAAAGTGAGTGGGTAGCTTTGTAATTATGATGTAGTTGAGCTAGTATTTGGGATTTTCTTTATAAGTCCACGAATGTAAGGGGATCTACAGTTTTAAAGTGTCATGAATGGTTATTCAGTTCAACCTAAGTTCATAATGGCTATAAATAATTCAGATTTACTTTTTACACCTTGTTTTTATGAGTATGCATTGAAAATAAACTGAAGAACCACAGTATATCTTATTTATAGTAAGGTTTTAAGCTACATTTTTTTTGTACTAAAAAATTACTTTATTCTATAAGACTAGAGGCCCGCTGCACGAAATTTGTGCAGGGGAGGGGGCGGTCCCTCAGCAATCCATGATCACTGGCTCCTAACTGTTCGCCTGCCTGCCTGATCACCCCTAACCACAGTGCCTGCTTGCCTGATTACTCCTGATTACTCACCTGCCTGCCTGATCATCCCTAACCATTCTGTCTGCCTGCCTGATTGCCCCTAACTGCTCCACCCCTACTGTCTCTGCCTGCATGCCTGATCGCCCCTAACTGCCGCTGCCTCGCCTCCCACTGCCGCAGCTTCGTCAGAGGGACGTCTGAAATGATGCCTGGAAGATCATTTGGCTGTCCAGTCTAATTAGCATATTATGCTTTTATTGTTATAGATAAATATTACTGATAATTACCTTTATTCTAAGAAAATTCAAATGGGAGCTGATCACCTAGAGATGGAAATAATGACTGATGAGGCCTTGTGCCTCTCTTTTGGGAAAGTGACAGCATCTTCAATTATTTAAGGGGTATTTGTGTGACTGTGCTACCGTATTGTTCCTGGAAGTTTAATGTAGGGTAAAGGATGAGAATAGGCAAGGGTAGGTTTGTCTGTTGGCTTAGAGCTCCACCTGTGCCCTTCTGTGCTTTCCTGCAGTCCAGGGCAAACTGCGTTTCCTAGATGCCCTGGCAGCAAACTTCTCACTGTAGAGCATAGGCTTAATGGAGAAGCTCCACTCTCTGCTCCTCACTGGGCTCAGCAGGGGTGGGGGCAGAGGCAGAGGCAGTGCAGTCCGCAGGCTGCTGTCTTCCAATGGCAGCAGCAAGTTCTCAGCAGCCTCTGCAGGGCATAGTCTGGCTCCTCCATCCAGGAGTTTGAGAATGGCTTCCTGTAGCTATTAATCTCTAACTTCACTTTTTTCCCCTCTCTCTTCTAGACTTTCCTTTCCAACCCTCTGGTAGCCAATTCCCAATATTCTATCTGTTGAAATACCCAGTGGGGGCTCTATTTCTCCACTGATGAAGGTGAAACCACAATCCAGCCTGTACAAAGAATAATATGAATGGAGAGGAGGAGGAGGAGATTATTGATAAGGCAGGGAAAAAAATCATATTATAGGATGTCAGGGACAACATGCTATGATTTTTTTTTTTTAAATCAATCTTTATTGTTCATATTATTACAAAGGTTCCTCATTTCTTCCCCCCTCCACCAGGTTCCCACACCACCCTCCGCCCCCCCCCCCATCCCCCATTGTCCTCATCCATAGGTGCAGTTTATGTTCAGTCTCTTCTTCCCTCAATTTCCC